TCGAGCTAGTGTTAATAGAGGAGTTATTGATAATTATATAGCAATTGCTGTTATACTTAGCGATAAATCAATGCTCATAGAAGGTGTTGGTGGACGAATGAGAGTCGTTGATGCTCCAGTAGAGAATATGTAATGTGTAATTAGATTATTTATCATTATTATAAATGTCATATAATCACGTTAATGTTACCCTGACTCCTGGCCAGGTCAAAAGACTGCAATCAGCATCAAATAATAACTGTGGAATAACAATATCATTAAAAAGGAACACATGAGTGGTTCAAATAAATTATCGTTAACTGATCGACAATTCAAAAATTTTAATAAAGCAAAAAAGTCAAATACAGGTGTCAAATTGGATCTTTCTGCGGCAGCTATTAAGGATACTTTTAAAACTGGTGGTATATTTCTCCTTCTCGCAGCTATACCAGCATTAATAGCCGCTGCAGCCCCAGCTGTTGCAAAAGCAGCTGCATTAGGCGCCGTTGGAACAGCCGCTGAAATGGCATTAAAGAAAGCGACCGGACAGGGAATAAAACAAACATCTAAAAAAAGGGAAAAGGTCTCAGATTACCAGGGACCCCACCCTCGTGGTACGGAAAAGGCCTAAGACTTCCAGGAACAGTTTACTAATCTCGCCTATGTCTAATTTTGATTTACTCGATGCTGTTAAAAAATTAAAAATAAAAAACTTTAGAGGTGTTTTCATGCGCGATCAATTACCAAAACAACCAAACAATACTGAAACAGGTATTATAAATCTCGATCAAAATTCTGGACAAGGTACCCATTGGGTGGCGTATGCAATTGATCCACGTGGAATTATTATTTTGATTCATATGGATTAGCGCCACCAAAAGAATTTATTTATTATGTCAGTAATAATACTGCACCAATCTGGTATTCAACGTTACCTACACAAACATTAACCGATCCACCAATATGTGGTCGAGAAGTACTTAGTGTACTTGATGTTATATCCATGGCACCGCAATAAAAAACCACCTCATAAAGTCGTGCATGAATATACCATGATGTCACATAAGACATCAGTAAATATAATGGTAGATATTTACGGAAGATCTGCTCGTGGTAAAACACAACAACAAGGTGATTTATCTAAATATGCAACCCTTGATCAACTTAGAAATGAGATTGATGATTTATTAAATATTACAAATGTGGATCAAAATGAAGTGGTTATTTTCAGGACAAACAAGGGCGATTAAAGACAAGCAATATACGACTACCAGACGTACTTACACGAATTCATAATGCAGTTAATGATAATATCGTAACTTTTACTGATCAGGGTAAAATACAGGATTCCGGTAAATCATTTACTGATTTTGTTAAAAAAAACTGGCGGTGTATTTAATGGAGACGTTATTATGAACAAAAATAAAATTACCGATCTTGGAAATCCAACTGCAGATAATGATGATACAACAAAAAAATACGTCGACGATAAACAGACTCCAATTATTAATGGAATAACCAACATCGGAACTGAATTTACCGGTCACGTGAATATGTTTTTGAGTTTTCGCGAAAACATAAACAGAATTAATAACGAATTTTTTGGAAAGCCACCAAATGTTAATATAAAACTTACTGATAATAATAAAAAACTTAATGATATTATTGTAGGAATTCCTGATATTGTTTAAAAAAATAGACCTGATTAAATTTCCTCACGATCAGATTAAAAATATTGTGTATACTGTTGCTTCTGGGTCTGGTATATGGACGCCAGAAAATAAAATCATTAAATATACAGCAAAAATCGCTGGTATATATAGGATATCCGTACTTAGCGGTGTAGATTTTATAATATACACTAACTCTCCATCAACTGGTAATATTTCTAGAATTATATCCGTAAAATTAGATAAAGATTCCGAGATAACATTTACGCTGGAATCGTCTGATAAACATTCGGTCTCAGTTGGTTACTGGTGGTATTTGGAATTTGTAACTCAATTAACTACTTAACATCATAGTATAATGGATCAAATAACTATCGACGTTCAACGTCACAGATATAATCAAGCATGTGAATGCCTGACCAAACTAAAAAATACCATCGACCATTACACAGTAAAAATAAAAAAAATATCGTAGACGTATGGTCGTTATTGATATAATTGTGTATTCAGTTTCTGCTATTGTTGCTGGATTCGGATTAATATTATCAACATTAACGATGACAGCTCCAGCAATCATAACAATTATTGTTTCAACTTCAACGACTATAGCAGGTATTTTTAATATTATTGCTAAAAAGATAACTACATGTACGAATGATAAATTGCGCGAGTATATGAAAAAATTACACACAGCAACAACAACATACTCTAAACTATCTGGATATATTTCCACGTATCTCAGTGATGGTCAATTATCTGATGAGGAGTTTGTAACGATAATTAAAACCTACGATGAAGCATTCAAAATTGTTAGTGATTCTGCTGACAAAATAAATGGAGAATTAAACAATAATAATAACAATAATGTCAGCAACTGAGTCGAGAGAGTTGTTACAGCAGATCGTCGCTAATACAACTCCTTCAAAAACTACTATGATATCTATAGTTCGACCAATCCTGAATTTAGCGTTAACTTTCCAACTGCAATTCCAGTAAAAGAGATAGCATTAGCTCAGTTACGTGTTTATTATAGCTGGCCTAATATTAGATCAAAACCATTTGGTGGACAACAACCAAATAATTCATTAGTATTCGCAAATAAAAATAAATCTGATGGAACTCCCGATTGGCAAGTTGTTAGTATTCAAACTGGCAGTTATCAGTTAGAACAGATTAATGAGGAATTCCAGCGCAGAATTAAATCTTTAACAGGGAAAGAGTCTAAAATAGCAATTACTGTTTACGAACCAACATTATCGTCAGTGATTGAAATAAATTCTCCTGATTATGCTGTAGATATTTATCAGAGTTCGATTAGATCAGTACTAGGTTGGCCTGAAGTCGCGTCAGATTATCAAGTTCCACCAGAACCACAGAGATCCGACTTCAATATAGATGTTAAGAAATTTATACAACTTCCAGAATATAGAAACAAAGTTCCATTTATGGAGAGCACTACAGCAAGTGCTTATCGTAATTATATACATCATACTTATTTTATAAGTTTCATTCAAAGTAGGAGTGGTTTAGCAAGAATATCGACACTTGATGTTGAGCAAATTAACTCATTATTAAGATCGATTAAATCTGAACACGAACACATGTTTAATAATCTTAAAAATTTACTTTCCAGCATCAATACTTTTTATAACGATGATTTAAAAAATCAAATAATTGAAACAATACATCTAAATCAAGTTGTAGCAGACTTAGAAACTGTAAATAAGGCTATTGTTGACAGAGAGAAAATAATAAATGTGCCGGCAGATAGATCTTCTAGCTCTTATATAGTTAATGAAGATGACCAAATCCAACGTGTAAGTCATAAGCGATTATTTAAGACAGTATTTATGAAATATTACGGAATCACAGAAGAACAGCTACCAACATTTATAATACCCGGATTTGACTCCGAGAAGTTAAAAAAATCAGTTAGTGATCTTATTGATGAACAATTTAGAAGAATATGTAATTCCTGGAAAAAATTAATTCCACCCCCAGCAATTCTCAAATATAATAATGATCCATATGGAACAGGTCGTCATATCTCACCTAATATTGTTAATATAACATCCACCATCGCACTGAATTTAGTTTGCGATATAATTGATAATAGCTACCATTTTGACCTCTCTAAGTCTAATCAGGCTCAGCAGGGGTATATATTATATTCATCTAGTATCCAATCCCCTCCGGGCTGGCTGATTGTATCTGAGCCAATAAATCAAGTCTACCTGCGTGTACATAATCCATTATTGTCAAGAATGAATTTCAAACTCACAAATCAAGATGGTAATATTGTGGACCTGCGCGGGGAGACGTTATATATTAATTTATATATACGATCCTAGATTGGTCTGGATAAAATATTTGGTTAGTTCCCCTTGACCATCTGTTTATGAACTGTATATCTGTTTAAAAACCCAAATCTATTGTTAAAAGTCCCGATATTATTGCCCTGACAAAGTCAGGTGACAAAGTTAGGTGACAAAGTCAGTAGCAGCAGTTAGGGTGAACCTCTACAAAATTTTGCTCGAGTTTTTAACGTAAAAAATAGTTCAAAAAAATCAGGATAAAAAAAGTCAATAATAGTATAACAAAAGTGAGCTAACCTCATGTGGTTTATTATGTGGTTTATAACCGTCCGTACGGTAATATAAAAGTTAGATATTTTTGTTTAGGGTTATTGACCCTTTTTTTCAGCCTCTGTAGGAACCCTTATTCAGGTTAATTTCACAAGCAAAAATTTTGTAGGGTTCACCCTCCCTGCTGCTCCTTAACACCTGTAGAAAAGGCGTCCAAATGAGTTCTTTACCAGCAAAATATATCGGACGCTTGTATCTGACTCATAAAACGGCTTTGGGATTGCCTGAATCATTGTGTCACAAAGACTCGGAAATTTCTTGATTTCTCCCGACTGTAGTAGGAGACGGAGGGGTTGACTTCCTCATCGTCAATGTCAATTTAGGCTTTGACCCTATATGCAGGCGTATGAGGTACGGGCGATAAAATTCAAGAATATCGTGCGACATGGTCTGCTCCAGTTCAACACAAGAGCCTCAGATAGAAACACTGGCATACTTTCATGGCATATGGGCTAGAGAGATCAGTCCTAATGCGTGTGTGTGTGTGATATTTGGATTTTTAACGTAGCTTTAACAATTTTTCAGTCTTATTGCTACGATGTCTGCAGTGTAGCAATTTAGTGATGTCTATCATTAGGGGCATCATGCCGCAGACATGTAGCACGATATACCCCCAGTCACATTATCCTGACACCACGTCGACCAGTGCTAACACTAACCTCTTATTTACGAGACAGCTGCTAATACCATTTTTATGTCTTTGGTATGACTTGGCTGAGGATTGAACCCACGAACTTCCGCATCCGAGGCGGATTCTCTAACCGCAAGGTCACCATAGCAGTCCTAATATTTGTGTACTTCTTACTAAGGCAAAAGAGGGACATGAGTACATTCTTTTTAGTTATGTGCACTTTAGAGAAGCGGTTCTAAAAAATGTCATGAACCTTAAAAGAGCTTTTGGATGTTTTTGTGTAAAATATATTACCTTTGGGGTCAAATGAAGTGCGAAATGTTACTTTCTAAATTGTAATTTTAAGATGCTCGTGAATTCTGTAGTACTTCTGTATTGTTGATGTGAGGCTGCAGTGTCATATAGCATGCTCTGATGTAGTGTAGTCTGACGCTAATCCTGAGCAACGTTTTGTTTTGGCAGTAACACATTGTCTTGCAGGAAGCATTACCTCCAAGAGTTTGGAGTAGTTAAGCAAAGTCTGAGTTTTTGACCCACTAAAGACCTGTTTTTTGAGAAATTGTTCTTACAATTTAATTTCAAAATTGTTGGGTATCTGCAGAGCATCAGTGACGGTCGACTAAGGTTTTCATCATGTGTAGATTAAAGAATCAGAATAGCAAAGATCATTGTTCATTGTGGAAGACTGCCCAGTACACAGACAATTAACATTAAAATAGGTTATCAATAACAATATATGCATCAACATTTATACACCATCCCAAAAAAATTTGAAAGAAAGCAACCAATGTATCTCAATACTAATGTCATAATAAATGTAGGTCACTGATTTCAAAATACAGTTCCAATACTGTAAATGACTCGAGCATCAAGTATCTTTTGGATACGATTGTAAAGTCATAAAATTTGCTCAGAATAAGAAAATCTGCATAGGAAGTGCCCTCCCTGGGTCCCATGTGTGTTTGCATGGAACAGATCATAGGTAATGCATTTGTAAAGAAATATGATAAACGTACATATACAAAGCAATTGTGAAATCGACTATCTCTATGAGTTAAAGGAACTGACCTTGTCTTTAATCAAAAAGGCAAACTCTCAATGTTGGTACTATATCAAATGGTTAAATGGTGAGAGTTAAAAGTTCTAAAACTGTAAAGAACTGCACACAAGAGTTAATTTAATATATCCCTATAAAAAAGTAGTAGTAGTATAAGATTAAAGAGAAAATAAAAGTTCACATTTAAAGAGGAAATGTCAACAAAAAGCTTCATTGTCTAACAAGAGAGGGGGCGCCAGAGGAAAGAGAGATAATTCCCTCAATGTATGACCAACTTCCTCACTTTTAAAAAGCACACATTATAGGTACAAGCACTGAATCAATATTAGTTTTAAAAGGATAAATAGATTATAAAAAAGCAACAACCCCTCCACCAAAAAAACCAAATAACAGAAAGACGTGGTATTCATGGTTTAATGTAGACATGGTAAATGCCATCTTACAAATGAAAATGACCAAGCATTTGATATCATGTGATATATTACAAATGACAATGCCTCTGATCTTAAGTTAATCACTATGACCATGTAATTTATACAAATCAAAATGGCTAAATTTCACAGATTTCTGTGTTCATCTTACGCACCACATCAGACCCCTATTTTTCAAGAAAGCTGCTTTATTTGTGCCTTTAGGGCCAAATGAAAAAGACCTCAGAAAATAAAGACAGATTTTATGGTTGATTTAGTCTAAATGAATTATGCATATCCCTAGCTGGCTTAAATAAAGTGGACACCTTGATAATGAAACACAAGATGATCCATTTCTTTAGTTGAGAAAAATGTTTTATTAATTTGGATTATCATCGGTAGCTAAAAAAAACACATTATTGATGATCATGGTTAGAAACCACAATGAAGAGAAGACGAAATCTTCAGCTAGAAACATGCTGAATGTTATTCAGACCAGCATAGAGGGATGAAAATATGTAGATTCAAGTGTCAAAATGAAATTCATGAGTGGGGTGGTTAATTAAACATAAAGAAATCATCAGGAAGGAAGGCTCATGACAAGGGAGGCTTTCTTGAATAATCCTGAATACACCTTTATAACAACAGAAAAAATTTGACCCCCCACACCACTTTAAAATATTCATACCTTTTGACTTGGTAGGGACTTTATACATACTTTTCATTTATGGAATGAAAACTATGATTGAACTCAATGGCATAATACCAACATTAGTACTAAAAAAATCTGGTATCACAGCTTCTGACAGGACAGAATACAGTTCCAATATTTCCTTTAGTTTCTTCTTCTCTCTTTTTCTCGTTCATTTACCACCTCCACATCCTTATACAAATAGTTTTAACATGTCTAAACAAAGTACGAATGAACTGTCATTCACAGATAGAATAGTAAAGTAAAATAGTATGGGTTTATTCAGCAATGTAGGCCTCTCAAATCTGCATGTATAAATAGGAATATTAAATTTTTCTGGTTTAACAAATGTCCGTTTTTAGTTTTAATATGCACCCAACCAATTTAAACAAGAGGTTCCACACAAGAATGCTAAATTTAACTTTGTGTTTCTGTAATCGTACATTTAAACTTCAGATTTCTGTATAAGAATGATAAATTTGAACTCCACTGCAGTTAAAATTAAAAAAAACCCCAAACATATTTCCTTTGCAAATTACAAAAATAAAAGTCTCTAACTGCTTTAAGAAAATTGTCATGCAAATAGTCTGTACTTTCAGTAACCTTCACATATTATTAGTATGCTGGCAGATCAAAATTTAAGTTTCAAACTCATTTTAAATAATCGATCTTTTGTCTGACATTTAGCTCTACTGTGCAGGTTGCTCTAAATAAAACGTCTATTAAATGTTTTGGTACATCAGACATATTAAATGTTTTAGTACATCAGTAATATTAAATGTTTTGGTACATCAGATCTTCACATTGGATAGTTCAGCATGACATCTTGTTTGGCTAACTCTAACAACATAGGGTCATCGAAGAATTTGTTGATACTAACATCTTCACTCAAGCCCTGAAAACAAAATAAATAATAAAAATTATAATAATAATAATCATAATAATAATAAAAACAACAACAACAATAATAATAATAAAAATAATAATAAAAATATTAATAATAATGTGTTTATGGAACCCAGTGTACCATCCATAATCATGTGCTTGTCAGTATAACCCCATATCCAGCTTTCATACACTCACATTTCTTTGCTAACAATAAAGCCTAAGGGGTGAAATATATTAGACAGGAACTCAACACAAGTCAACCTATGAACTTCGGTCCTACGGTATTATGTTATCCTTATATTTTAGTTGAAGTGATGATAAAGATACATGACTTTTAAAATATTAACAAAATACATTAACGAGGTTTACGGATTTTGAAATTTGCTGTCTACTTGATTGAGAGAGAGAGAAGAATGAAATAAGCATAAATATGGAAATATGTTTCAATACCATACATAATGGTAGATATATTTCCTAAATAGGTAAAGAAAATACAATCAAACCTGTCTACAGCAGCCACCCACGGTAAAAGGCCAAAGTGACTTTTGCAGACAGGTGACTTCAGTTGGTAGGTTCAATTCTCAAGCTTAGTTGATGACAAATGCATGTTCAATGCATTAAAAAATATTCAGATTATTATCAGAAGTAGTATCATTTCTATTATTCTCCATATATTATTATTAGCAGTAGTAGCAGCCTATCAAAAATACATGTATTTAGTGTAGCCATTTATCAAAAACAAAAATATCAAAATAATAAAATATTTCACACATGATTATTATATCCTCACTCTAATACCTCAAGTAAATTACATCATGTCTGAATTTCTATCATTGTGATGTTTCTAAGTTATCATAAACGTTTTGCAGTTCCTTTAATCTGCACCCAACCTAAGGTTGGGAAACACATGACTGACTTTTTGTAGGTATATTTAGGCATAAAAACAGATGTTTACACTTGAAATAATTGGATTAAGCAGTTGTTATTAATTCATGTAATGTAACACACACACACACAAACATACATACATATATATATACACAGAAATGCCAACCCTAGAAAATGTTTTTGAGGAACGCCACCACCAAAAATGAGGGACAGAGCATGAAAATGAGGAATTTAAGAATGTTTGAGTGAATAAACATAATTCTCTCAAAACACCATTAAATACTAGTAATGCATGTTTATAATAAATACTTTTGTACAAAACCGGGTACCTACCTGTTTACAATATATACAAGTATACAAAATTCAAGTCCAAGAGAGATCTTAAAGTTTCCTTAATCATTGCTTCCATCTGTAGAAACTGTGAATGGGAAATTCTGCATTCTTTCAACTAATTTTATTATAGTATTGGCTGCTATTTCTTTAACAATAGCATTTCCTTTAGATCTACTGCACTGAAATTGTTTAGCAATGTCAGTCACTAAACATAATTTTAAAAGCTTTTGAAAATGTATCAAGTGTGCTCATAGGCAGATTGAGTTCAGTAAAAATATCTACTAACATAACTTCAGCTTTAATTACATCAGACTTAGGCATAGTCTATGAAGTCGAAGATCAAGCCTATAATAAAAAAAATCCAACAATTTTCTTAAAGCGTTTAACTTCTTTTTCAAGGTAACAATGTCTTTTTCCTGAAACGTGTTTGCGTATATTGAACATTCCTCCAGACTTTATTGAAAATTCACAATTACAGATGTCGTAGAAAGCATTTGTGTCTGCATTTTTTCTTGGCTTGAAGAATTCATACCCATCAGCGTATTCTTTACAAAAACATTGAGAGTTCTTTTGATGTAAGTTTTGAATCACTTTCTTCGATATCGAAATGCTTTTCATAAGCCATGATTTTTTTGGTCCAGAATCAAGAAACAATTTATTGTAATTAGAATATAAAAAATTTGTGAATGTAGACTTTTGTATAACAACCGCCTCAGACCATATGTTTACAATTTTAAACCATCACACATGCACAGATTTGATAATTTCCTCTTCCGGTCAGTGATAGCATATTTTATGACATGCAGATTTTTTTATCTCCACTTTTGCAGATTTTCAATACAACAACAAAGGCAAATTTGGACATTTTGCATGACAAATGTGCAA